CAGAACATTCTCTTACATAAATCACAGAAGATACTTTATGATCCAACTCCCAAAGTAATAGAAACAAAAACAAAAATAAACAGACAGGACCTAGTTAAAGCTTTTGTACAATGAAGGAAACTATAAGCAAGGCGAAAAAGGAGCCTCCAGATTGGGAGAAAATAATAGCAAGTGAAGCAACTGATGAAGAATTAATCTCAAAAATATACAAGCAGCTCATACAACTCATACCAGAAAAATAAGCCACCCAATCAAAAAATGGGCCAAAGAACTAAACAAACATTTCTCCAAAGAAGAAACACAAATGGCTAACAAACATGAAAAGATGCTCAATATCACTCATTATCAGAGAAATGCAAATCGAAACCACAATGAGGTACCATCTCACACTGGTCAGAATGGCTGCCATCAAAAGTCTACAAACAATAAATCCTGGAGATGGTGTAGGGGAAAGGGGACCCTCCTGCACTGATAGTGGGCATGCAAACTAGTACAGCCTCTATTGAGAATAATGTGGAGATTCCTTAAAAAACTGGAAATAGAACTGCCATACAACCCACCCAATCCCACTGCTGAGCATACACACCAAGGAAGCCAGAACTGAAACACGTGTATCCCCATGTTCACTGCAGTGCTGTTTACAACTGCTAGGACATGGAAGAAACCTAGATGTTCATCAACAGACGAATGCAAAAGGAAATTGTGGTACATATATACAATGGGATATCACTCAAATATATAAAAAAGAACACATTTGAGTCCGTTTTAATGAGGTGAATGAAATTGTAGCCTATTATATAGAACGGAGTTAAGCCAGAAAGAGAAATATCAATACAGTAAATTAACAAATATATATGGAATTTAGAAAGATGGTAACGAGACCCTATATGCTCCCTATATGCAAGATAGCGCATAGGGTTCATAAAACCGTTATCTCCATAGCTAGGAAAGCACTAAGCACTAAACCCTTTCATGATGACATTGGTTACTCACTAGCAGAAAATCTTTGTAAAATAAGCTCCTGATTGCATCAAACTCCTCCTTCCCCAAAACCTTTATATTGGCCTTACCCTTGCCTCTTTGGAGCAGTCTCTATGATTGATTTAAGGTGCTGTCTCCTGGACTGCAGTCCTCATTTTATCCCAAATAAAACTTAACTCACAGCTCTCAAGTTATGCATCTTTTTAGTCAACAGAGGTAACTGCCCTATTTTTAAATCAGTTTTAATTCATAACGCTTCTGCTTTCCTCTAAGGCCAGTTTTATCATTTTCTGTCCTTTAAAAATAAAACTTTGGAAAAAAAATAAATAAATAAATAAAACTTTGAGATTTTCAAAGATCAAAGAGGCCTCCACACTGATATTAATTAATGTCTCACCCGTTATATGTGGGCCATTTTTCTAAAAAAATGTTTACTTTACCATGAGGCTGCATCTCTCTTTTAGCCCAAGAATCTACCAGGGCCTGGCTCACAAGTAATTTCTTTTCAGTCTTTCTCACCTCTTTCACAGATTTGAATACTTGAGTATTTATTTACAAATTATTTAAGACTTACCTTCAACTTTATCATCACAAAGTGGATTATTTCCTTTTGGTTCTCTTTCCTCATTCTCATTTTCCTTAACCTATAAATGTATTCTGAATTTTCCTGACATCTAATATTTATTTATTTATTATTATAAACAGCCCATAACTCTGTAGTAAGTGTTTCATCAACTTTCTATTTAGGGATTTTCTCTTTAATAAGAGATATGGACACATCCTTTCTAGATACTCTGTTATGACTTTTGTTCCATTTTCTGTCTTCCTTGCTTTCAAAACCCTATTATCTCAAATCTCCTAGTTGCTGGTCTTTATGAACAATTTCATTAATTCTGTTTTGTCTTATTTAACAAGAGTTAATATAACATATTTCCAACTTAGAGGAGTCATTTTTTAAAGCCTTGTTTTTCATCTGTACTTTGAAAGGCATCTTGCAACATCTCATCTGTATGTCCCACAAAAATGGCACTTTCCATGGCCTCCTCCTTCAATGTCTGAACATAGTCTTCTAAAGTACACCAAGACTGTTCCAGGACAGGTCAATTCTAAAGGATATTCTTTTTTTTTTTTTTTTAATTAGTTGGAGGCTAATTACTTTACAACATTGTAGTTGTTTTTGCCATACATTGACATGAATCAGCCATGTATTTACATGTGTTCCTCATTCCAATCCCCCCTCACACCTCCCTCCCCCATCCCATCCCTCTGGGTCTTCCCAGTGCATCAGCCCTGAGCACTTGTCTCATGCATCAAACCTGGGCTGGTGGCTGTTTCACCCTTGATAGTATGCTTGTTTCAATGCTATTCTCTCAAAACACCCCACCCTCGCCTTCTCCCACAGAGTCCAAAAGTCTGTTCTGTACCTCTGTCTCTTTTTCTGTTTTGCATATTGGGTTATCATTGCCATCTTTTTAAATTCCATATATATGTGTTAGTATACTGTATTGGTCTTTATCTTTCTGGATTACTTCACTCTGTATAGGGGGCTCCAGTTTCATCCATCTCATTAGAACTGATTCAAATGAACTCTTTTTAGTGGCTGAGTAATATTCCATTGTGTATATGAACCATGGGTTCCTTATCCATTCATCTGCTGATGGGCATCTAGGTTGTTCCATGTTCTCACAATTATAAACAATGCTGCGATGAGCATTGGGGCGCACGTGTCTCTTTCAGATCTAGTTTTCTTGGTGTGTATGCCCAGGAGTGGTATTGCTGGGTCATATGGCAGTTCTATTTCTAGTTTTTTTTTTTAAGGAATCTCCACACTGTTCTCCATAGTGGCTGTACTAGCTTGCATTCCCACCAACGGTGTAAGAGGGTTCCCTTTTCTCCACACCCTCTCCAGCATTTATTGCTTGTAGACTTTTGGATAGCAGCCATCCTGACTGGTGTGTAATGGTACCTCACTGAGGTTTTGATTTGCATTTCTCTGATAATGAGTGATGTTGAGCATCTTTTCACGTGTTTGTTAGCCATCTGTATGTCTTCTTTGGAGAAATGTCTGTTTAGTTCCTTGGCCCATTTTTTGATTGGGTCATTTATTTTACTGGAATTGAGCTGCAGGAGCTGCTTTTGTATTTTTGAGATTAGTCCTTTGTTGCTTCATTTGCTATTATTTTCTCCCATTCTGAGGGTAGTTGTCTTTTCACCTTGCTTACAGTTTCCTTTGTTGTGCAAAAGCTTTTAAGTTTAATAGGTCTCATTTGTTTATTTTTGCTTTTATTTCCAATATTCTGGGAGGTGGGTCATAGAGGATCCTGCTGTGATTTATGTCAGAGAGTGTTTTGCCTATGTTCTCCTCTAGGAGTTTTATAGTTTCTGGTCTTACATTTAGATCTTTAATCCATATTGAGTTTATTTTTGTGTATGGTGTTAGAAGGTGTTCCAGTTTCATTCTTTTATAAGTGGTTGACCAGTTTTCCCAGCACCACTTGTTAAAGAGGTTGTCTTCTTTCTTTTGTATATCCTTGCCTTCTTTGTTGAAGATAAGCTGTCCATAGGTATACCTCTGGGCTTTCAATTCTGTTCCATTGATCTATATTTCTGTCTTTTGCCAGTACCATACTGTCTTGATGACTGTGGCTTTGTAGTAGAGTCTGAAGTCAGACAAGTTGATTCCTCCAGTTCCATCCTTCTTTCTCAAGATAGCTTTGGCTATTTGAGGTTTTTCATATTTCTATACAAATTGTGAAATTTGTTCTAGTTCTGTGAAAAAAACCGTTGGTAGCTTGATAGGGATTGCATTGCATCTATAGATTGCTTTGGGTAGTACAGCCATTTTGACAATATTGATTCTTCCAATCCATGAACACGGTATATTTCTCCATCTATTTGTGTCCTCTTTGACTAAAGGATATTCTTAAGACACTCTTCAGTCACCACTCTGACAGATCTGAGCTTCAGATGGACCCTGGCTTTTGTATCTGAAAGCCTGTTACACAAAAGAATCACTGCTCAAAATGCCAAATTTATTTGCATCTGCCTCATCTAGGAGCATTCCAGCAGTTCCAGGGTCATATATGCACTATACCCAGGAAATAAGGTGTCCTCCAGGCCTCTGAGTAAATCTACTTAAAAATATAACTATTAATAATCCTCAAAAGTATCCTTCCTTATGGTATGCCCCCAGACATCAGTTTCCATTTTCCAATGCCATGCCAGCTGAGCACAAAAATTAAGAGGGTTTAGGTTTCTCCTTGGCGTGCAGAGCTGCATCATGCTCTCATTTTATAATTATTTTCATTTTCTAGAAAATGTCCTTTGTACAAATGTTTTACATAAACCATTTACAATTTTGGCTGTTTCCATAAAGTGGCATTTTCCAACACCATTTGCACAATAGTTGTCTTGATCTCTATTGCTTAATCAAGTGACTTATCTGGACACCCAAGGTTGTTCAAACAAAAACTAAAAATTTGCTTTCTTATATAAAAATTGGATAAGCTTAATTTTTGATTATCAAAAATACAATTCTATCAATAGAAGTCTCTAAAATTCCATATACAGACATTCCTTAATAAGGTCATCTAAACCTAGAGAAAATCAAAGTGTTGGCAGATGTCACACTATAGATACTTTCTAAATATCTACTCAAAAGATGTTTCCCTTTCTTTGATTTTTTTTAAAGTCTTTACTGAATTTGTTACAATATTGTTTCCCTAACGAGGGATTGAACTGGCACCAGCTGCACTGGAAGGCAAAGCCTTAACCACTAGTACAAGGGAAGTCCCCTAAAACACAAACTTTACAAGAAAAGAAACTAAGGTGCTAACAGAAGTTGGCTAAATAAACTGACTTCTGCTGGTCAATCAGGAAGTAGTCTCCTTCACCCCAACTTACTTAAAAGATGTAGTAATTACCTATGTTTCCAAGGGCAGAAAAATCATTTTACAGTTAGCTTTGCAGCTGATCACTGTCACGTGAAGTCACATCAAGTGTAAAGAATACACAGAGGCTGTTACATTAGTCATCACAGATTTACTCTACCTTTAACAGAGCAGGTAAAATTCACATTTGTGAAACAGCTACAAAATGTCTTTGAAAAGCAAAGTGACAGCCTCATTAATCTTTTATCCTCAGAAAAATGTATGTTATAAAAATAGGAGTGTATTTAGCATTTTCAGTAATTTTCTATTTATAGCTTGAAAGAGGTAGATATTTCTGCAGCACCTGAGAAATGTGACAGTCAAAAGAAAAAAAAAAAAATACTGGGCTCCTAACAAAATTTCATCCTACACAACTAAAAATATAATTTTCAATTAAGTTATTCTACACCCTCGTTTTTTGTGTACTTTGGTATCCACTGCCACTATAGATTTTACACTCTAGAAGATTCCCTAAAATGGTAAAGCAAGCACAATTTAATCATATGGCAACTTTTCATCAGCCAGTTGAAGTATTTACAAACAAGGGTTGAAGAATCAAAGGTGGTACAGTGACAGTCAGAGGCAAAACTGTGAAGAGAAACCAAATGCATCCCATAGAATTTACATATTTTTAATATCTATATTATTTCACACATTACCCAATATACCTAGTATCCCCAAAACTGAATTAACTCCTGTCAACCACACTGAATTCAGCCCAAGATTTACCTTACATAGAAATAAGTGCTACAAAGAAGTGTGGCAGGCAACACAGCTACCTCAACCTTAAATGTCAATATCTTATAAGCAGCAGGGTGCTACTGAAATACCATCAATCATATTATTTTTAAAAAAAATCTTAATTTCTAGCACATATCTATTTTCTCTCTCACAGAAGTGGGTCCAATATTTTCAGTTAGTAACCTAAGTGGTAATCATTCAGTTGTGTCCAGCTTTTTCAGATCCCGTGGACTGTAGGCCACCAGGCTCCTCTGTCCATGGAATTCTCCAGGCAAGAATACTGGAGTGGGTTGCCATGCCCTTCCCCAGGGAATCTTTCTGAACCAGGGACTAAACCTGCATCTCTTGCATCTCCTGCAATGGGAAGCAGGTTTTTTTTTTAACATCTAAGCCACCAGGGATACCCTGGAGAAGGAGAAGCCCTTTAGTAACTAAAGGAGGTACTATAAAAAAATCCGTTAAACTACTGTATTTGGCTTTGTTAATTTTTGCAGATTAATTAGTCAGTTTTCATATATGTTCTTTGCTTTACTGTCCATACCCTTGATCATCAAGGTCAGTGATGGAAATTTTTAACTATTTCACATTACGGGCTCTTTCCTATGAGACAATTCAATTTTTAAGCCCTTTTACATCACAATGTAACAGAAACATACAAGTAAGGTTATTTAGCTTTTCTATATCAAACTAATGAAGAACAAAATTCGAACTTCAGAAATTTTCCCACTGTAAATGCGAACACCTAAATACTGATTTTTTTTTCTTCAAGCATATGTTCCAATTTAAAACTGAAACAAATATTTTTAAGTCTCATAAACTTTCAGCCTTTGTCCAGTGACTTGCCAGAATATAATGCTTTCCAAACAAATGGTATTTCATACACATATTCTGCCACAATTTTGTAGGACTGAAAATTTGCAGTTATCTCAGTTTGTCAAGTGATGAAAATATTATCAAAAACTAATATGAATCAAACATGCTTTGCTTGTTTCATATCCCACACTGCACTTTTATTTTATTTTCACCTGACTTTTAAATGAGTTACTGGTCAAAAGTAATCAACTTTATTATTTTTTCTTTTATATTAATGAACTAGAGTTAAATTGGTATTAATTTCTACATAGAGGAGCCATTATCAGAATAATTCTCACTTTAATTGTGATAATTATATTCAAGAGGCAGGGATAAGGCAATGAGCAAATAAACAGAAGTAATTAAAAGGACAAGGTAATGAGTACATGCATTCCAATATAGGAAAAATAAGGCAAATGTATACAATAAAGGAGTAGAAAATGTATACATCAAACAATGAAGACAGTTAAGCAGTCTCCTGTATCATATAGTCCAACAGCTAAGAAAATAATATATGGTAAAAAAAAAACTTAGAAAATTTTCATCACAAAAGGAATAAGAGCTACTACATAAAAGTTATACTCAAAATATATCTCTTAATACTGTGATCATACTTCATCTTAGTCAACAGAATCAATGCCCAGAAGAGATCACATAAAAAGGGTCATTTAAACTGCATTTTGTTTCATTTGTTCCTTTGGATTCAACCCCCAGTTTGCCTCCTGGAGATCTTTTAGAGTGGGTGATCACTTCTTTCTGAGAATCAAGAGCACTGCAGGGCTGTATTATAGGCGTTGCTAAATCTACATCTGATGTTTTTACAGAGAGCTGCTCTCTCAGGACTTGCACCTTTTCAGTGAGCTCATTTCTTTCCATCTGAAGAGCTCTGTACAGCTTCTCTAGCCGTTCCAACTTTATCTGAAATAGCTTGTACTTTTTATCACAGACAGTTTTCTGGGAAAGAAACAGAAAATTTATGAAACCTTTATATGAAACACAAATTAGGTTAGGTTACTGTGCACAAAACTAAGTAATCTGAATCAACCTGTAAACTAATTTTTATCATGTCCTAAATGTCACTACATAGCACTATTTATTTATTTATTTTTCCATTTATTTTTATTAGTTGGAGGCTAATTACTTTAAACTATTGTAGTGGTTTTTGTCATACGTTGACATGAATCAGCCATGGATAGCACTATGTTAAATAGTTATACTTATTCTCAAATATACTACGGAACAAAGCAAGACTTAGATACTTTACAGCTGTCTACAACACAAAGTTGAGTTAACCAGTTAAGGCAAAAGTTTAAACACCTCTGTAAGACAACCTAAATTACTGCAAGAAAGAGAATGTATAAATCAAAACTGCTGTAACTTACCAAACTTACACAAGTTTTAACCTGCCTCAATACTGAAATAAGTGAGCATTTGCTATTCAGTCATGTAAACCTCCTCACCTCTTCAGCCATTTCCAGAAGTATTTTATTATTATTTTCCCATTTGGTACGCCACATTATCACTTCTTTTTCGAGTTTTTTCATTTTCTTTGTCATCTGTGAACCAACACAATTGCAAATTTAAATTCTAAACTGCCAGATTCACTACAAAACCATTTTATAATGTTCTTCTCATCATGCAACAGGGTACTTCCATCAAGTAATTGATAACTATTTATATCTTGATAAAAGTCACTTGTCTCATGCACCTAACCTGGGCTGGTGATCTGTTTCACCCTAGATAATATACATGTTTCAATGCTGTTCTCTTGAAACATTCCACCCTCGCCTTCTCCCACAGAGTCCACAAGTCTGTTCTATACATCTGAGTCTCTTTTTCTGTTTTGCATATAGGGTTATCGTTACCATCTTTCTAAACCATATATATATGTGTTAGTATACTGTAATGGTCTTTATCTTTCTGGCTTACTTCGCTCTGNTGGGAAGACCCAGAGGGATCGGGTGGAGAGGGAGGTGGGAGGGGGGACTGGGATGGGGAATACATGTAAATCCATGGCTAATTCATTTCAATGTATGACAAAAACTACTGTAATGATGTAAAGTAATTAGCCTCCAACTAATAAAAATAAATGGAAAAAAAAAAAAAAGTCACTGCAATAGTTTGTCACCAGCAGAACTAACAGAAGCCCCTTTGGTGGAACAATAAGAAACAAAGTTGAGAGTTGCACATTACAGGAAAAAGAAATTTGATTTTCTCAGTTTCGGAGAAGCAGCAGAATATGGAATCTTTTGATACAACACTCTCAACTCTCTCAGTTAGGATTGGAATGCAACTCATTCCTGTTGGAGGCAGCAAGAGATTCTCTCAAAGTTGTACAGGACTCTTAGAAGAACAGAGATTCTTTTTGTTGTGGTTGAGCCACTAAGTCGTGTCTGACTCTTTGTGATTCCAATATTTAAATTATTGATTCCTTAGCTGGAATCTCCTCACAAACTCACAAGACTTTTAAATTTTTTTAAAGATACAATGTTTCAAAACAATACTACAAAATCTTAGTTTTCAGGAGTTCAGAATAAAATTTACATATGCTAGTCATTCACCTTTGTTTCTAATATTATTTTACTATATCAGCTCTGTTCTAGATAGAGATACTGAGTCTGGCATTGTTGAGGGAAACAAGGGGTAAGATAGAGCTAATGCCCTTTGTCAAGTCATTTTAATTATCCACAAAATGAGAGAAAGATTATGTACATGGTTTGAATGTTGACCTCTACAGCCATTAGCAGATGAGGAATGTGTTCCAGTCCAGAGGATTCTTGAGAAGTTAACAAAATTACAGTCTCCGTCTTAAAATTGTCCTTCATGATGAGCACACACATGCTGAAGTTCACATAACACTTACACTGTGTCCCTTGATTACAGTCTTAACTGAGAGGTGTGTCAGGCACAACCAATCTACCACTCATTTAATTCTCCATATTACTCAGATTAAAACCACCTCAAGGTGGTAAACATAAAACTTAACATGGCCAAGTACTGTATAATATACAGCAGTCAAAAATTTTTGTTTTTAAGAATAAAAGAATAAAAACACATAGAAAGGTTAAATAACTTTTCTATGGTCTACCATAAATGACATGAGTTACTGATACAAGCAATCTGATTAACAGGCACGTGCTCCAAACCACCATGCCTATAAGATTTAGTAATAATCTTAGTAATAATAATCTTTAGTAATAGTCATGACTAATATATATCAAAAGTTTACAAAATGTCATGCCCTACTATTACTTATTCTCTATTTAAAAAAAAAAATCTCAATTTTAAGAGGAAGTGGAAGACAGCTTGCTGCAATGAATTTTATACAATGCATCTAACAGATACCAGTAATTTGAGAAAAAGGCAGATATCTTATACATTTTAAGACTAGTCTTTAGCCATATCTTCAATTAGAATGACCCAAAACTTCTCTACATGACATTTTAATTATTTTCTAAATTTTGCAGAGATGTCCTTCTATATTATACATATAGTGATAAAATTTAAAAGACTAACAGCACTCTAGGTATTAGCTAGATCCTCATAAATAATCTGTTGCAAACACAATATATTACTGCTTTCCTTGGCTTAGATTTTAGAAAATAAGTTACAAACATTTTGTGAAAGAATTGGGTGATCATCTGAAGCAACTCTTTTTTAAAAATCTAGTTTTAATAACAATTTGTCCTTAGGATAAAAATTTAATTTTCAGATTATCAAGATCAGTAGCAATTTGAGGTAATTTCTGAGCAAAATTTCTAAGTAAGTCAGCAAAGGAACTAAAAAGATAAAATTAAAATCATAACCAGACCAATGTAAACTGTGACCAAACAGTAATTGCTTAAAATCATCTCTTAAAAATTCAGTAGTGATATTCTACAGAAAATAGGTAAATACCTTTTCCATTTCTTGCCTGAAGGTTGTAAACAGCTCATTGCTTTTTTCCATGGTAGTCTGGAATTCTTCAAACTTATCCATATAAAGAGAAAGCTACAGAAAAAAGTATCAAATATTCTTAGTTTCAGATATGTGATATAAAATCCCAATGACTATCAAAAGAATATAATGTGGATGAATATTAGTTACTTAATATAAGCAATAAAATGTGAGGACAAATGCACAATAAATTTTTGGGCAGACACAAAAGGCTAAAATTCTTGCAACTTACTGAAATGCATTGAGATGAAATTTTGTTGATTTAATCTAACTGTACATATTTAAAATGTACAAACATGTGGTAGCTCCATTCCATCAGTTATAAAATAAACTACAATGTTATCTCTATATACTTCATGTGACCATAACACATCATGCATTAGCCTTCTACTTGTTTTTGAAAAACTGTCCTTGGAAAAAGATGACTCTTTTAGAGGGCAACCTGTATAATTATTAGCTTGCTATCAACCTATGTCTTTGCTTATATTATGCAAGAAAATAAAACAGAAGTCAACGAATAGTCTGGATGAAACAAAAAAAAAATTAACGTGAGTATGGCTGAGAAAAATATAATTCAGAGGAGGCAGAGACATCAATTTCAAAAATCACCCTCAGCTAATTAAATCTAGCTGAGAAAATAATGGCTAAAGCATGTGTTTAATTATTTTCTGTGAATGAAGAGAAAACACTTCAGAGACCATGTAAATATATGTGTATTATATTCAGGAAGAGCAAACAGAAGTCCAGAAAATTGAATGTTCTGCTAAAGGAAAGTAGAAAATAGTAATAGACTGAGCCTAAGGATAGCATTAGTGATGCTTTTCAAATATAACAGGAAGGAGTCATGCAATGACACTTGACAGAGATTAGAAGTTATAGCAGTCTTAGCCATGATCCATTCTTATCAAAAATGGAACATCCAAGTACTTTGTCCTACTTGAGTTCAATGCCGGCCAGTTGTAAGTAGCTAGCAACTGCTAATTATCACACAGTTGAAATTATGTGCCTTGATTACAAAACAGTAAGGACAATGAAATCATCAACAACGGCTAAAAACTGACATAGTAAGAGCACACAGTGAACCCAACATTTGGGAAACAAAGCCACACTTAGGAAGAAGGTGACAATAAACAAAACAAACTAATGATTAGCTAAGACTAGCCAAAGGATATAAGTCTCAGATAATAGAAACTGCACTGATAATATTATACAAGAACCAGAGATGCCCTGGGAGGTTGGTAAACAGTTCCTCTTGGTGATTTAACCTGCAGAAATTATCAATAACATCCACATTCAAGATCATGTATTATACAGAGCGAAGTAAGCCAGAAAGATAAAGACCATTACAGTATACTAACACATATATATGGACTTTAGAAAGATGGTAACGATAACCCTATATGCAAAACAGAAAAAGAGACTCAGATGTATGGAACAGACTTGTGGACTCTGGGAGAAGGCGAGGGTGGGATGTTTCAAGAGAACAGCATTGAAACATGTATATTATCTAGGGTGAAACAGATAACCAGCCCAGGTTGGGTACATGAGACAAGTGCTCAGGCCTGGTGCACTGGGAAGACCCAGAGGGATCGGGTGGAGAGGGAGGTGGGAGGGGGGACTGGGATGGGGAATACATGTAAATCCATGGCTAATTTATTTCAATGTATAACAAAAACTACTGTAATGATGTAAAGTAATTAGCCTCCAACTAATAAAAATAAATGGAAAAAATAAATAAAGATCATGTATTAAAGTAAATACAAACTCTCCATACATTCTTTACATCTACTCTCTTCTCCATTTATGTGAACCATTGAGTATATATGGCTAATAAATAAGGCACTTAAATCTGACAATGGGAAATTCAACAGACCTCTAACATTTGAATTCTCTTCAATTTTCACTTTTTCATAACACCATTATAAAAATTCCCAGAGACTGCCCATGAAAATGTATACTATTCTTAATATATTAGCATATTTTAAAAGAGAGTGCTTAAACAGTACATAATGAAGTCTTAACAGGTAATGCATTTTTTCAATAGAATGTAAACAGTTTAACTTAAAAGAAAGTAAGTCATGCATATATCAAATAAATACCTAACTGCACCTCTCTATCAAAACTAGATAGGCACTGCTAAAACTCTCAGGGATGGAAGGCACAATATTTCCTGTATCTTTCCTTTAGCAAGATGCAGCATCTGCTCTCTTTATTCCATGAAAAGCAACCACCTTAAAGACACTAGAGGACAATAAAAAATAAGGAGAATCCCAATTCTTTTTTAAAAAGAATAAATGCACAACATCACCTGGATGTGAAATTAACTCTACATATTAAAAAAAAAAGAAAAAAAATGTACACTCTGCCTGTGTTGAGGCAAGCTAAAAAGATACTGGTGAAAAATCTAGATAATAGATGGGGGACAATGAAAACAGTCTGATCGGACATACCAATTTGCCTAACTACAGGACTTACAGAGAAAAATTCTATTCAAAACATGATACGTTAGACACCTTAAGTGAAGAGGAAAATTTCAAGAGGACAAAAGACGTTTCTCAGTTCAGTTCTAGCTCTGGCTCTGGCTGGGAACCAGGAGACTCAAAAATTTTGCTAACCTCTATTGTCATTACCTGTTGTTTTAATTGTACTTCTTGCTGATTCATTTCTTCGTATTTGTGCCTTGATTCTGTGGCTTCTTTTAACAACTAGAAAAAAGAAACATTCTAGCAAAATACTAATCCTAGAAACACTAATGCTAGAAACATTCTAGCAAAATAGTAATTATACATATGCCTAAAATGTCAGAACATCAATACTGTAGCTTTTCCTTTCATTATTCTACCAAGAATCGTAGGTCAATCAGTCAAACATCCTAATATATTAATTGTCAATTACCTCTATCCCAGATCTGTTAAACCCTTACAGAAATTATCTATAAACCTCTTAAGGACAAAAAGCACCTGAGAGGCACACAAAGGTTTATAAAACTCTGGGTTAAATTGTTCTATTATAGGTGAAAATAATGAGATATCTACACCTTGAAGTGGGAAACAGAGTGAGAAATCTTGATCTTATCAAGTTCAGAAAGCTCATCTACAGCTTGATAGGTAAGAAGAGGCAGGTAGACAGGGTATCAGTGAAGCAATGCAAACAGACTGGGTTTCTTATCATCTTTTTTAAAAAGTGGGACAGAGGAGGACATAGTTAGTGCACTATTGTTTTTAAGTAAATTTGCATATTGGGCAATGTGAAATTCAATCCTTGAATTTCTGAATTAATGTCACACAAAATGCAAATAAACCTTAATAGAGCCTTAAACCAACCAGAGACCCAATTCACATATGTACACATGTTGTTTATGTGTGTGCAGACTTCTAATTTATACTCCAAACTGGAAAGAGCAACTGTTTTTTCAGCTGTGTAATAGATATTGTCTATGGATTTTATGGAAGGTCCATGGTGTAAAAAATACATCTCTGTAAACCCTACTCCCACTAAACATGCACTGTTCACATAAGGAGGAACACACAGGAATGTTCATATACATATGTCACACCATGTTTACTTTTAGGGCTCAGCCTACTTGAACAAAGTGCTAGATGAAACAGTTCACATTATTATAATTATTTCTCACTTTATTAATTGAACTTAAACTACATAATTTATGTATGATAAATATTAGACCTTCACTATGTTCACAATTAATGACAAGCAAAATCCAAACAGATTCAGGGAATAGTAGGTTATGATTAGGAAATAGACAATTCTGTTAAATTTCATCAGAAAGTTATATCAGAGTAATTAAACAAATATTTACCTATTTAGAAAAAATGGAACAGAATGTAGGAGAACCATTTTTGGTAAGGTTGATGTGAAATTTAATTGCTCCTAGCTTTCAGGCCCAAATTTGCTGATAACTTGCACAAATCTTGAACCTGTTTATCACTACTTAAAAACTGATATAATATTCTAGACAGAAAAATCAAATATGTTCAGTTCAGTCTATTCCCTGAACTTGGAACAATGGTTCATTTTTTTAAATATGAAAATTTCATCAGAAATAAAAAACAAAAATGTGTTCTAACATGTCTCAATATAAGGTGTAAAAAAGACAAATTACTTTTTTAGTAATTATCCCAGCATCAATGTAAAATGCTGAATGAGTTTCAGAGTTTTAAATGGCTTTGTTAACAGTTTTGAAGAGACAATTGTTTTAAGAAGTACAACTTACAAACTCTCTTTCTCTCTGATGTTTTTCATCAGCTTTCTTTATAAGTTGTGTTGTTTGCTGAAGTTTGGCATCCACAAGGTGCTGCTGCAATTCTTTGTGTTTGAACACTTTACCAACATGCTACAGAAAAAACAGAATTTCTTCTATCACTTAAGGAAAGGGAAAAACTAGTGAGGATATGCTAACACAAGATATGGTAACCTAGCTCTCTGTTGCTTCTACCAACATTATGATACATAGTAACACTGGGTCTTTCTGTGTATGCTTGAAGAAACATCTATTTACATCTCCTTGCAAATCATCCTAAGCTTCTAGGAAAGATCCCCTGTGACTACTTCTGCATGCTTATGTCTTTATTCAAGGTGAACTATTCACTAAATAGTCTGTATTTCATATTTCTGCTCTATATTGAAACCTGGCTCAAACTATCAAGAAAAAGACTGAAAAACACACGATTCGTAAACATTTTTCTTATTAAATTTTCCCAAGTTTCACAGTGTAGGTATTAGTATGCAGTAGCTTATCATAGTGGTAGGAATTCAAATGCTCAGTGGAAGATCTTTGGCAAATTTTTTCCCATTGATTAATCAGTTTTCTTACGTAAAAAGGTAGGTAACCACATCTACCTTGCAGAATTGCTGTAAAAATCAATGTAATGATTAAAGTGAAGGACTTGGTAACAGGCACATGAGTGGACACTGGTAAAAGGTCATTATCATTTTCAACTTAAACTGTTTAGTGGTATTTATGTACACAATCAGAACACCCTTCTCAGATAGAGAAATAGTAACTATCTTCATTATAAGATCCCAAGAAAGAAGAAAGTCAGATTTATAAAAGATAATTTAAAAAAAACTTTTCTTAAAGTTAAAAAAATCTGAGGACTGTACAAAATCTGTCTTGAATTGTAAATAGCTTACTTATTAAAAATTAAATCCTTCTTTATGCAAAGGAAAAGGAAATTCAGTGATATCTCAAATAAGACTTACAAGTAATATGACTTGAACACATATTTTTCAAATGGCAAACCACTCCAGTATTTTTGCCTGGAAAATCCCATGGACAGAGGAGCCTGATAGGCTACAGTCCATGGAGTTGCAAAGAGCTGGACACGACTGAGTGACTTCATATTCGCTCATTATTAGGAATGAAATTTAGAAAGACTCCTGCTAAAAATCTGACTTGATAAAAATAAATATTAAAAATAAAAAATGTATTGCATACACTTAAAAACTGCATCTCCAATAAACAATGACAAGAGGGGAAAAAAGAGAAGAAAACCTATCAATTATAAAGGTGTGAGATATCACAATCAATGAAATGTACAAACCTTATCTGGATCTGACTCAAACAATCTTATATTATAGTGGGAGATGGGAAAATGTGAAGCTTAAAATTTGATTAAGTTGTTACAAAATTTTTAGGTATGAAATGGCACTGCCTTTTGCTTAAAAAAAAATCTTGCCATTTCAAAATGTGTTTTTAAATAGTGGAGTAGAATAATATGACATCTTGGATTTGCTTCAAAGTAGATCTTAAAAGTTATTACATGCAATGTGAATAACTTGGTGAAGTTAACTGATCTATTCCACTTTTAATTTTCAAATTATGGACGTAAGAAAACTATTAAAAGAAAAAATGGTTGAAAGATATAAAAATCTTAAAAATGTTTCCAAGTTTTATACATAAAACTATAAACTGAGACAATCTGAAATTTGATTGAAAACCAGACAAATCTCTTTTTGGTAGTAAAATAAAATTACCATTTTAACTGGACATATTTGTTTTTAGTTATCAGTTTTAAGATGAAGCTTTTATAAGGTTCATAACACATAAAGAAGCAGGATTTTACTAGCTTAAAGCTCATTAAAGTCAGGGCATGCAGCCTTTGGAAAACTCAAAGCCTCTCATGATGCACATCTAACCTGTGAAAGTAACATAAGCAGGTTATCAGCAATTTGCTCTTTAATCTAGATAACACCCCACTTCCAGATTAGTTTGTAAAGTAATTAGAATGACCAGGTTCTACACATCATTTCTATGATTCCAAAGATCATTCCTATGAAGTTTATATTTCATTAGATGTGCCAACAACACTGGGTGATAGTTCTATTTTCTTCTCCTAAGTACAACATAGAAAGGGGAAAGTAATGGTATTGCACATGGTACAGATGACCACAGAAGTCTGAGCTATTAGGCATTTGGCTGACAAATGTTTGTGTGTGTGTGTGTGTGTGTGTGTGTGTGTGTGTGTGTGTACACACAAATGTTTATTTGTATATTTTGTATATACAAGTAAATATAACCTATATCATTAGGTTAGATATAGGAAAAACAACCTCTAATCACATTCTTCCAGTATCACATGAGAACAATTACTACTTAATATTGTCTCCTAGCAATTACCTCACATATCCAATCCATTACTTCTAGGATATCAGGGGATGATAATTCAGTTCACATGGTGCATTTTCCTAAGATATAACCCTGCCTTCCACTACACATGTGAAGAAGTTCTAAAATTGTCCTGTGACAGTTTTAGACTTGTATGAAGGGGGCAAAAACCTTTTGGTACTAACAAGGTATCTAAATACGAGAAACACCTTTACCTCTTCCCTCAGTGCATACTGTTCAATAAGCTTCTTAAGTTTCTCTCCCAGTTCAGTGTTTTCCTGGCGGAGTTTTACACTGTGTATGTCATGTTGTTTTAGTTGTGTCTGGATTTCATTCAAAGTAAACTCGAAATGTGCAGTTGCTTCTTTACGTCTTTCTTCGTCTTCTCTTGCATGCTGCATATTTTCTTCCTTATTGTCCAAAATAATTTTTGTTAATAGTGTAAAACTATACCTAAATTGCTAAAAATAAACAAATAAACAAAAAGAAGCTGCTGCTATGGACCTTCATATTATGCTGCCCCAAGTGATGCTTATGAACTAAAATTTCTTCTCCCTTTTGGTCTATAAGGACAAAGCTCTCGCTGGAAATCAAGCAAATTTCCCAAAGTAGAGAGAGTAATCAGAGAGATAGTTTTCAAACCAGACAGAGTAATCAGAGACACACAAACTGCCCTGTGATGAAAAGTGCCATCTGACCATCTAGATATTTATTAAACTATAAAAGTACAAGGAAAGTACAAGGACTCCCCTCATAGCTTAGTTGGTAAAGGATCTGCCTGCAATGCAGGACACCCAGGTTCAACTCCTGGGTCGGGAAGATCCCCTGGTGGAGGAAATGGCAATACATTCCAATATTCTTGCCTGGAAAATCCCACAGAGAAGCCTGGCGGGCTACAGTCCATGGGGTGGCAAGAGTCGGAAACAACTTAGCAACTAAACCACCACCAGCGTACAAGTAAGGAGCCTGTCCACACAGTCTACCTCTGTTTCATCAACTATGCTAAAGCCTCTGACTGTGTGAATCATAACAAACTGTGGAAATCTCTTAAAGAGACGGGAATACCAGGCCATCTAACCTGACTTCTGAGAAACCTGGTTGTGGGCCAAGAAGTAAACATTAGAACCCTGTATGGAACAACTGACTGCCTCAACACTGACACAAGAATGATAGGGCTGTCTACTATAACCCTATTTAATCTATACACTGAGCAAAACCTGAGAAACACTGAGCTGGATGAATTACCAGTTGGAATCAAGATAAGTGGGAAAAAATCAAGAACCTCAGGTATGCCAATGATATCACTGTAATGGCTGACAGGGAAGAGGAACTAGTCTCTTGACAAAAGCGAAGAGAAGAATGAAAGTGTCAGCTTAAAATTAAATACTAAAACAAACAAACAAACAAAAAAAAAAAAACCCTAAGATCATAGCATCCAGCACCATTACTTCATGCAAAAAGAAGGTGTAAAGGTGGAAGTAGTGACAGATTTCCTCTTCTTTGGCTCTAAAATCACTGTGGATGGTGACTGCAGCCATGAAATCAGAAGATGATTGCTTCTTGGAACATAAGCTATGACAAGCCTAGACATGTGATGAAAAGTATCAGACATTACTCTGCCAACAAAGGTCCCTACAGTGAAGGATATGGTCGCCCCAGAAGTCACGTTTGGTTGTGAAAGCCATGTGGACTGTGAAGAAGGCAGAAAGCCAAAGAATTGATGCTGTTGAACTGTAGTGCTGGAGAAGACTCCTGAGAGTCCTTTGGACGGCTAGGAGATGACATCAGTCAATCTTAAGTGAAGTCAACACTGCTATTTGTTGGAAGAACTGACAATTAAGCTGAAGCTCCAGTATTCTGGTCATCTGATGCAAATAGCTGACTAACTGGAAAAGTCCCTAATGCTGGGAAAGATTGAGGACAGAAGAAGAGGGAGTCAGAAGATGAGATGGCTGATAGCGTCACCAATGCAATGCATGTGAACATGGGCAAACTTCAGGAGATGGTGAGGGACAGGGAAGCCCAGTGTGCTGCAGTCCATAGGGTCATAGAATCGGACACGACTGGGCAACTAAAGAAGAAAACAAAAATTTTCATTTTATATTAAAAAAAAAAAGCAAAGCGGATTAAAAACACAGACACCACCACTTGATGATGATCACTTTAAAAGTTGTCCTATATTCTTCAGTTCAGTTCAGTTGCTCAGCCATGTCAAATTCTTTGCAAACCCATGGACTGCAGCATGCCAGGCCTCCCTGTCCATCACCAACTCCCATAGTTTACTCTAACTCATGTCCATTGAGTCAGTGATGCCATCCAAACATCTCTTCCTCTGTCGTCTCTTTTCCTCCCACCTTTAATCTCTCCTAACAATAGAGTCTTTTCAAATGAGTCAGTTCTTTGCATGAGGTGGCCAAAGTATTGGAGTTTCACCTTCAGCAAGTCTGTCCAGTGAATATTAAGGATATTCCAAATTTTTTCAGGATATCCCAATGAATATTCAATGATATTCAGAATATCTATATTCTAGATACTTGGAATTTTCAGAAACAGCAGTAATCATATGTCAATCATGCTTGATCAAAATAATACTCCAATTCTTTAATGACTGCTAAAGACAGACATGTTCCCATTATAGAGATAGATTCTTTCTAGAGCCTCTCTACTCTTTTTCCTTCCCCTGCTGACAAAAGTTTCGATACCTGGTTCCTCTTCCTTTACTACTTTCCTTAAATCAGCTAAGAGATAAGTACTGTTCTAAAGTATCTGGCAACTAAATAGTTGAAGATGTGGAGAGAATAGTAAAGGGGACTACCCAATTAACATCCACAGAAGATCTCTGCAACTGCTTTCCCTTTAAGCTCATTTTGACTGAAGTTTATAATTTACTTCATCCAAAATTTCACTCGTTATCCAAGGAGGATAATGATTAAAAGAATATATGGCAAACTTAAGCTTTCTAAACAGGGAAATTATTGACATAAGTATCAATACAGTCTAATTTCCCTATGATCAATTATGAATTATTATTAAGGAGCTCTTCTTTACATCTGAAAACAATGCTGGCTAGAAAGAATGAATCTTTGATATACAATGACAACACACAAAGCACTACCCTGAAGCAAAGTAAAAGGCAAGGCTAACTTGTCATTTAGAACTGGACATGGAAAAATGGACTAGTTCAAAACTGGGAAAGTACATTAAGGCTGTATATTGTCACCCTGCTTATTAAACTTATATTCAGAGTACATCATGTAAAATGCTAGACTACATGACTCACAGCTGGAATCAAGATCACCAGGAGAAATATCAACAGCTTCAGATATGCAGATGACACCACCTTTATGGCATAAAGCAAAGAGGAACTAAAGAGCTTCTTAATGTAGGTGTAAGAGGAGAATGGAAAAACTGGCTTCAAACTCAGCATTCAAAAAACTAAGATCATGGCATCCCATCCCATCACTTTGCAGCAAACAGACTGGGAAAAAATGGACACAGTGGCAGACTATTTTCTTGGGCTCCAAAGTCATTGCTGATGATGACTGCAGCCATGAAATTAAGATGCTCGTTCCTTGAAAGAAAAACTGATACACCTATATAGTGTATTAAAAAGCAAAGACATTACTTTACCATCAGAGGTCCATTTAGTCAAAGCTAAGGTTTTTCCAGTAGTCACATACAGATGTAAGAGTTGGACTACAAAGAAGGCTGAGTGCCAAAGAATTCATGCTTTCAAACCATGGTGTTGGAGAAGACTCTTGAGAGTCCCTTGGACTGTAAGGAGATCAAACCAGTCAATCCTAAAGACCAACCCTGAATATTCATTGCAAAGACTGATGCTGAAACTGAAACTCCAATTCTTTGGCTACCTGATATGAAGAGTCGAACCATAAGAAAAGACATTCATGCTGGGAACAACTGAGGCAGAAGGAGCTTTCTGCCACAGTTTTCTGCAACAGAGGATAAGATGGTTGGATGGCATCACCGACTCAATGGACATGAATTTGGGCAAACTACAGGAGACAGTGAAGGACAGGGAAGCCTGACATGCTGTAGTCTATGGTGTTTCAGAGTCAGACACAAGTGAGCAACTGAACAACTTGTCTTTGAGAACTGCCCAGACTACTCTGCTCAGGAACCTAATGTACCAGAGCAACTGAACCCAGAAGTTATCAACCAGCAGCCATTATTATAACTAACTCCCACTAAAGCAAATGATGCAAGGATTTACCTCAGATAGATTATAAAATCAATATAAGTATCTCCAAAAAAAAAAAAAAAACCAGTAAAAGGAACCAACTCACCTTTAATGTCTTACTGTGACGCTGGAGTTCCCTGCAAAGAGATTCAAGTTTGCTTCTTGCCAAGATAGCTTTGCTGTGCTCACGCTGCAAATGGACTTTCTCTTTCACAATCTGGGCTTGCTTCTTCTGCAAAATCTTCATTTGCTTCTGAACATTCCTGCTTTCTTCCAGCTAAAATTAATAAGCACTTTGGGTTTATAAAGCAGTAAGAATTTTTAAAACTGGAAAAGTACCAATTACAATCGTGGAACTTTCTCTACTTCTTTTAATTAGCAGTCATAAGAAAGTACACAAGTTACTTAATACTAGAAGAAACCCAATTTCATTGTTTAATATTTTATTAAAAAGAAAAGTAAATCTCTCAGGTAAACTTGTTACAAATCAACACCTGCCAGTTTTACTTTTCTATAAGAACATGGGAAGGATATTTTGTTGAAAAAAATAAGCAGCACTCAGAGGAGGCTTTTGTGAGTAAAGAAGGCAATTTTAGAGTAAGAGCAATTTCTTTTATTTACTATTAACAGATAAAAAGGTAGCCATGCTGACATTTGTTCAACCATCAAGTATTCCAAGTGCAAAAATGATATATACAGGAAAACTATGAAGTGTCCTTACAAGCAAAATATTTACAGCTATTACAAAGAGCTTCATTAAAATTCCAGAGGGGGGAGGAAAAAAAGCTTTTACTTTTATATCTTACTTTCTTTTATAACTTAAGCAAGAGAGTTCCACAAAAACATCTATCTCTGCTTTACTGACTATGCCAAACCCTTTGACTGGATCACAACAAACTGGAAAATTCTGAAAGAGATGGGAATACCATATCACCTGACCTGCCTTTTGAGAAACCTGTGTGCAGGTCAGGAAGCAACAGTTAGAACTGGACATGGAACAACAGACTGGTTCCAAATAGGAAAAGGAGTACGTCAAGGCTGTATATTGTCACCCTGCTTATTTAACTTATATGCAGAGTACATCATGAGAAATGCTGGGCTGGAAGAAACACAAGCTGGAATCAAGATTGCCAGGAGAAATATCAATAACCTCAGANGCCTTTGTTATTCTGAGATATGTACCCTCCATACCCACTTGATGAGAGTGAAAAAGTTGGCTTAAAGCTCAACATTCAGAACACTAAGATCATGGCATCCAGTCCCATCACTTCATGGCAAATAGACAGGGAAACAGTGGAAACAGTGGCTGACTTTATTTTTCTGGGCTCCAAAATCACTGCAGATGGTGATTGCAGCCATGAAATTAAAAGACACTTACACGTTGAAAGGAAAATTATGAACAACCTAGACAGCATATTAAAAAGCAAAGACATTACTTGGTCAATAAAGGTCCGTCTAGTCAAGGCTACGGTTTTTCCAGTGGTCATGTATGGATGTGAGAGTTGGACTATAAAGAAATCTGAGCACTGAAGAATTGAACTGTGGTGTTGGAGAAGACTCTTGAGAGTCCGTTGGACTGCAAGGAGATCCAACTAGTCCATCCTAAAGGAGATCTGTCCTGAATGTTCATTGGAAAGACTGATGTTGAAGCTGAAACTCTAATACTGTAGCCACCTGATGCGACGAGCTAACTCATTGGAAAAGACCCTGATGCTGGGAAAGATTGAGAGCAGGAGGAGAAGGGGACGGCAGAGGATGAGATGGCTGGATGGCATCACTCACTCAATGGACATGGGTTTGGGTGGACTTCAGGAGTTGGTGATAGACGAGGAGGCCTGGCGTGCTGTGGTTCATGGGGTCGCAAAGAATCGGACATGACTCAGCAACTGAACTGAACTGACAGACTATGAGAAGAGCTTTCTCAATTACGTCCAACTCTCTGTGACCCCATGGACTGTAGTCGTCCAGGTTCCTCTGTCCATGGAACTATCCAGGCAAGAATACTGGAATGGTTTGCCATTCCCTTCTCCAGGGGATCTTCTGATCTCCTGGGCCTTCTGCATTGCAGGAAGATTCTTTACTGCTGAAAAACCAGAGAAGCCCAATGAGAAGAGCACACAAATTAGTATAGACTATGCCCAAATTATCTGTAACTAAAACTCTTTCTCCGGTACTCCAGAGTGCTCATACACCACCAGATGATTAATAAATCATGCAGATTTTAATTTAATTTTCAATGGTAACAGTAATAGCAAAAATAATGGTATAGCAGATCAGAAGACTGACATTCCACTAATGGAGATATATACCACTGAAGAGACATTGAAACAAACATTAATGGTTAAAAAAACTAAATGACAGACTCTAGAAAAGAGATGTAAATGCAGTTAATCTGACATATCTGACATGGAGAGACTGACAAACTGACGGTTTCTGTGTGCTCTAAGGAATAAAAGGCACAGTCATATGCTGCAGAGGTAGAGAACAGTTGAGGGTTAATATTTAACAAAAATTGGTATCTCACTGTGGTATTTTTATAACTGGATAGTGACTTTTGAGAAAGAAGTATTAAAAAGACCACAGGATAATGAAGACTCAATTACATTATCATCTGCCTAGTTATATTTTTAGATACACAGGCAGAATGAATAAACAGGATATTTCCAAAGACAGTGATTTTTATAATGTATGAAACTTATGGGCAAAAACAAAGACAGTGATATTGGCAAAGAGAAAGTAGAGAGTGAATGTAGAAGTGGCTGCAGCAGTCACAGAAAACAAAGGCAGTGAGAATCCTTCGAAAAGCATGCTGAATCAATGGTGACAGTCTGAAGAGAGTATCTGTACTTGCCTTACAGTCCCTATGATACATGAGGTGACCAGAGCAAAGGATGGCCAGAAGGGCACAGTCAAGGATCAAGAAGCTGAAATGTCATCATGGAAGATAGCACAGTAAATAGGTCTATCTCCATACCCAGATAATTGCACTGACACAAACTGATATAATTATTTTCGACCTGTGAAGCCTAGACAAAGGCCTACAATTTCCAGAGAAATAAATGGTCAGTAAACTGTGATTAATTTTGGTTCATTTAACCAGTAGCTGTGTAGCAGCTTCTTATTTTTCCATTCCACAGCTCCACTGCAGGTGGTCATGTTAAGATCCCTGGAGTGGCTTACATAAGCCAAGATAAGCTGTAAAGACTCAGGCCTCCAAAATGTAAGAGAACTGTGTTCTGATTGTGGATTTATAACATTTGATCATAACAAGTCAGACGCAGACAAGGGTCACCACTACTGCAAACACCTCCATGTGAAGAGGCATGTGGGGGACTGAAGGAAATAGGATCCATTGTATCATTTTCCCCTTCATTTAACCTTTTTATTCCCTCTGAAGAGCCAGATATTTAAGCACTAAAACATTCAAAACCAATCCCACTTGGGAAATTTAGAAACTTACCAAACAAGCTCAGGATCAAAGATGATCTAAGACACCTTAGATTAGATTTTCATCTCAGACTGACTTCTAGCAAAGAGACATTTTAAAACAAACAAAACAACAAACATAACAAACCTTGGTAAAGGCAATCTCATATCTAGAAATACCACCCTGTAAGATTCAAATGTACAGTTAATAACAAAAATCATAAGGCATACAAAGAAATAAAGTATGGACCATTCAAAGACACAAGACCAATCAACCAAACTGTCCAAGAGGAAGACTAGATAGTAGACTCACAAAAGACTTTGAAATAACTGTAGCTAAAATGCATTAGAGGTTAAGGAATCAGATAAAGTCAAGAAACAATGCATGAGTAAAACAGAAAAACTCAACAACAGAAACCACAGAAAGGAAACAAAAGGAAAAAAAAAAAATCTAGAGCAGAAGAGTATAATAATTAAAACAAGAAATTCACTAGAGGGATTAAAAATCTGATTTGATCAAAGATAACAAAGAATCACTGTACTTGCAGAACAACAGAAATTATCAACTCCAGGGAAATGGAATTACTATAGACTGAGGAGCAAACTAAGAGCCAAGGAATCTGTGGGATACCATCAAATGGACCAATACATGCAGTGTGGACCAATACACAGAGAAAACAGACAGAAGTGGGCAGAAAGGTTATTTGAAGAAATAATGGTGAAAAATTTCTCAAATATCATTCCAAGATACAAACGTGCAAGCCTAACAAACTCCAAGGATGATGAATTCCTAGAGTCACACTGAAACAGTTGTAAAACTGTCCAATAACAAATCTACCAAATATAAAAGATCCTCATTAACATAATCAGAAAAGTCCTCAGCATGAATCTTAGGAGGCCAGAAGTCAGCAGCTTTTAAAAATGCTGGAAGGGGGAGATCCTCAACTGAGAACTCTACATCTAGCCAAAGTGTCCTTCAAAAATGAAATATTAATACACTCCATAGGGCTCCCATGGTGGCTCAGTGGTAAATAATCTGCCTGCTGATGCTGAAGATATGGCTTCAATCTCTGATCTGGGAAGATCCAACATACCATGAAACAACTAAGACAGAGCATCACAATTAAGCCTGTGCTCTACAGCCCAAGAGTTGCAATCACCGAATCCACACTGAAGTCTGAGTGCACTAGAGATGGTATTCCACAAGAAAAGCCACTGCAATAAGAACTCCACACACAACTCCACCGAACTTGCTACAACCAGAGAAAAGCTCACAGAGCAACAAAGATCCAGCAAACCAAAAGTAAAATAAATAAACAATAAATGAATTTTTTAAAAAGATAATAAAGAGATAATATATCTTAAAAAAATAATTAGGCTCTATTGGGCACATAATAAATAAACATTAAATTTCTGTGACATTAATAAGTGAAAGTTGCTAACAGAGCTACATACAAGAGGTTCTGTATACTTTTGAAATAAATGCTAAATAAACAGTGTTAGTAACTTCAGAATGTCATATGCAATCCTCATTATAACCACAAAAAATGGATACAGAACAGACTAAAAATGAATTAACTAAGGAACTTAAAATGATTTACTACAAAAAATTCAATTAACTACAAAAGAGCAGTGTAGAAAACAAAAAGTAAAATAGTAAAAGTCAATTTTTAGGAATAATTTCTTTAAATGTACAAGAATGAAACTTCAATGAAAAACAGAAATTGGCAGAATGGGTAAAAACTTGATTCAGTTGCATCTCAAGTTAAAAGCTGGTGGAAAACCCTCATTAGAATGAAGGCCTTATGGATGATGGTGTCAAGACTCCTGGTTCAAAGTGAAGGCAAAGAAGGATCCTACCTCTTCCTCCCAGGGACACAGTAAATCTACAATTACATACTGGAATCTTACATCAGGCACCTGAATAAAGACCTGTGTCTGAAAGACAAGATCTCAAAATATGTAGATGGGGAAGTAAACGGGGCTTGGATCCTGGAAAAACTCACAAAGCTATATGGAACTGAAAAACAGTTGTTACACACATATGGACTAACCAAGCCCGGATCCACCTAGCAGAGGGACAGCATAGAGAAAGGCCCAATCTGTGTTTGAAAGAGGCTTTTAAGATACTCATGGCTTTGGAGTGAGGGGCAGGCTTCTGGTTTAGCACACATGTAGAGACCTACTGAGGCGGCCTTGGGGAAGGAAGCTTGCACAAGGAACCTCTACCATGCACAAGATCACCAGTATCTCATCTCCCAGAAGAGAGTCTGTCTGGCCCTCTAATTTTTGTCACTATCACCCAGGGGATGCTCCTTAACTGCCTAGTTCTTATGACCACTGGGG